CCTGATGGGGCCCCGCCCGCGCGCCCCGCCCCGGCTGCTCCCCGCCCCGGGAGTTGGGAATCTCCGGCCCGCGCGCGGGCGGCGGTTTCGAGGGCCGTCAGCGTTTGCGCTCTGCGTTTTCTGCTTGCTGGGGGACGAGCCCCTTGAGCCGCGCGCTGCTGTGCGCCCCGCGAGGAGCGTTTACGGGTGGACCCAGCTCCCCGTCCGGGAGAACAATGCCAGCTCTCCGACCAGGCGGCCTTGCCTTATCCTCACGGTGCTCCTGGGGGCTCGCTGCTTGTTTATACCCGTTTTACCCAGGCGGAAGCGTGAGGCTCAGAAAGAGCCAAATGGCTTGTTCAGGGCGGAGGCATCCAGGGCGGAGGGAGCCGCTCTGGTGGAGCGTTTGCCTGGCGGGCCCGGGCCCCTGAGTTCCATCCTCAGCACGGATAAGAAACATGTATGATCTGACATAAAATGCAGGTAATAGGAAACAGGGGGGTCAATCTTTTGCAAATGGGAAGGGGACGTAAAATTACGATGTGCTCTATGTCCATTTCCCAGCGCCCCACGGTGACGGCCGTCACTGAGGACTGCCAATGTGTGCTAATAAAAGTGGGAAAAACCGCTTGCTCTTCAGACGGACAGATCTGGAAGTTAGGAATCGTGAACCCTCTGTCACAAAGGGCAAGAGGGCTTCAGCTCCTCGCTCCGCGGCGGCGACAGCAGCCGACTCGCCCTGCAGCCTGCTCGCCCTGCAGCCTGCTCCCCGCACCCCGCTCGCTGCGACGCGGGCCACGCCCTCTCCAGGGTGGGGGCGTGGCACCCCGCCCCCTGCCCGGGCCCTGGGGTGGGGGGGGAGGGAACGCTAGTCACGTGGAGACCCCTGGGAGACCCCCGAGCAGAAGCCACGAGGCCCAAGCAGGGAGGGAGGCCAGGGTTTCAGGTCCCCAAACCTGGAGCCAGGGTGGGTGGAGGCGGCCGGCCGGGCAGGAGCAACAAAGTAACGGTGGGAGCACAACAACAAAGCTTGTTTACCCCAGTCCGGCTCCCGCAGGGCGCAGGGGGCAGCGTCCTCTCCCGCGGCCGGGAGCGCGCAGTCCTTGCCGCCCGAGGTGCGCTGCGCTGTCTTCGCCTCTTCACCTTTGCGGAGAGGTCGGCGAGCCTGCGGCTCCTCCCTTGGTTCTCATCTGCGAAATGGCCCTGCACGGAGGCGGGGTAGTGCTCAGAGTCTAGCCCTGCCGCCTGGTCCCCACCCCTCTGAGCGTTTCCACCTCACAGCCCTTCCGCAGCGCCTACAGAGTCCACATCCTCCAAGCCCCAAGCCTGGCTCTCCCTGACTCCTTCTGGTAGCCTCGGGGTGTCTCCGGCCTGGAGTAGGGAGGCCTGCATCACAGGGGCCTCCTGCCAACAAGTGAGACTCAGGAGGGGATGACCCTGGTCTCAAGGTCCAGAAAGACGTGCCGAGTGTGAGGAGGTTGGCGGAGAGGTCTAGAGGCAAAGGCACGGGGCCGGGCACATAGTAGGTGTTGAGTAAACACCAGCAGAACAGATACGGGGAGGAGGCCAGGCCTGGGACAGAGAGGAGTCGAGGCCCAGAGGCTGGATGGGGCGCAATATTTCACCCGGAGAGGTGCTGGTCACACAGGGGAGGAGCCGGGGCTTGCGGACAGGTACTGAGGCAGGAGGACCCTGTGAAGCCAGGGTCCAGGGCCAACCTGGGAAAATACCTTTCCAAAGGTGGAAGGAAAGAGAGAGGGAAGAAAGGGAGGATGAGAAAGATAAAAAGGAAAGGACAGATTGAGGAAGAGATAAAAATCCATTTGAGCAGGGCTTGGCTTCGATTGGCCAATGATGAGGTGATATCAGCACTGAGGACATCCACCACCCTGCAGCACCCTAGACTCTGGGCTCGGTGCTTTGCCTTCTGTTATCTCCTCTGATCCTTCTAACACAAGCCAGCCCCAAGGAGCAGGCCGCCTGTACCACTGGCAGGGCATGAAGGGTCAAGCTTAGGCGAGACAGGCCATGTGGCCCCATTTCACAGGTGTGGAAACTGAGGCTCTGAAAAAAGAAAGGCTGCTTACCAGAGGCCATTCAGCCCTGGGCTCTGCTTCCCTGGCAGGGCCCTTTCCACCCTGTCAGAACCACCCTAAACCTACTGGACCATAGTCTTTTTTTTTTTTTTTTTTTTTTTGTACTTGGAATTAAACCCAGGACCTTGCACTTGCCAGGCAGACACTTATACCACTGAGTATATCCCCAGCCCTGGCAGTGTCTTTTTCTTTCTTCTCTCTCTCCTTCCCTCCCTCCCTTCCTTCCTCCGGCCTTTCTTCCGGTGTGCCACTGGTAACTGAATCCAGGGCCTTATCCATGCTAGGCCAGTGCTCTAATACCAAATACATTGCCAGCCCTTTTTGTTGTATTTGACGACAGGATCTTGCTCATTTGCACAGACTGCCACAGCTACTCGGAGGCTGAAGCAGGAGGACTGCCGTTCAAGGCAAGCCTGGACAATTTACAGGGTCTGCAGGTGTAACTCAGTGGGCGAGCCGCGCCCCTGCACCCACGGGAGGGCCTGGGTTCAATGCCCAGGGCAAGGAAAGAAAAGAAAAAGGAAGAAAGGCGGACGTGAAGGTCCGCTGGGCCGTCCGGGGACCGCTGCGCAGCAGGGTGGCTCTCCCGAGCAGCTGCCCCGGGGCCTCTGTCCTTCCAGCCAGCCCTCCTCAGGGCAGGGACTGCGTCTGTCTGTGGTGCAAGGGTCTCCAGCCCCGCGGCCACAGCCCTGACTGCTCATACTCCTTTGTTCACCCGATGGAGCCCTGATTTTCACGGGTGGCGTGGGCTCCCCGGGGGTGACCTTGTGCAGCCCTGAGGGATGGGACTGGCGACACGGGGCAGGCAGAGGCCAATACAGGTTGGAAACATCTCTGCCTCTCCCTTGCCCTCCCAGACTTTCGTGCCCAGCCTTAGGGGTGACACCTGACCCGGAAGATGCCCCCCACTGCAGGAGAGGCTTGCTGTGACCCCTCTGGGTGGCATGTCACCTGCCCCCGCCACCTTGGCAGCCGAGTGTACAGCCTGGGTGGCTTTGGGGACCCCTCAAAGAAAGACTGTGAACCCCCTGAAGTGATGCCAGAGGGCAGCTGGGGTGGAAGCCTTTTCCAGGGACAGATTGTGCCACTTCCTGGATGGGATCAGGATGGTGCGGTCTCTCGGCCCTGAGTGTGAATCCTGACTCTGCCGCCCCTAACTTGCCTGGTTGTGAATCTCTCTCCCCTGGGGCTGTGGTCGGGATGGAGACGTCAGAGGCCTCAGTGTGGTAGCTGCACATAGCAGGCAGCCGAAAGTTCAGAGGAAGTGACAGGAGCAGTTGGTGAGGAACTGGTGAAAGTACTGGGGAGGCCGAGGCAGGAGGATCGCAGGTTGCAGCCCACCTCAGACAGTGTAGCAACTTAGCAAGACCCTGTCTCAAAACAATTTTCAAAGGGCGAGGGGGCAGGGCTGGGGATGTGGTTCAGTGGTGGACTCTAGAGGGCAGGGCAGGGCTGCGTGACAGCTAATGACAGTGCTTAGTCCCCAGAGTGACTAAAACAGAGTGAAGCGAGGCCGGTGGCCGGGACTCGGTGTCCTGTGGGGGCTCATTGGGTGATGGCAGCGTTCTGGGCCCCAGTGCCTGGCATCAGCCACTTCTCTCAGCCCGAGGGAGGCCTTGGGGACAAGCCTCGGTGGTACTAAGTTTCTCTTTTTGGACACAGGGTTGAGCTAAAGTGCCAGGGCTGGTCTCAGACTTGGGATTCTGCTACCCAGTGGGCCCAGGCTCCCGCACAGCATGACGGGAAGAGGCCTCTGACCCCGCCCCCAGCACCTGCTGCCACCCCGGGTCCGAGCGGAGCCCAGGCCGCTCACTGGGCCGCCCCACCTCCCCCAGCTGTGCCCAGGGTCTGAGAGCTGTGGCTTGACAGGGCGCCGAGAAGGACAGAGAGCCACTGGCCAAGCCCAGCGCCTCCAGGAGTGGGGACAAAGTGTCCGGAAGCAGGTGGCCAGGCCACGGGAAGGTGGTTTGGAGGGAAGTGGACAACTGATGGAGTCTGTTGTAATTTGAGGTTTTGCAAGGGGAACAATATAATAGAGGACACATATTTTATAAGATTATTTATAATAACCACCCAAAGAATCCTATACAAAAGAGAGTGCAGGAAATCTGCCCACACACTAAAGACCAAAGAATCCAGCTGAGGACCTGGATCCCACGCAGTGTCCTGCACGAGTCCAGCTGAAGGCCCAGAGCACCTAACGATGCCTCCCATGAACCTAGCTGGAGGCCCAGAGCCCACGACAGTGTCTCATGCAGGCCTGTTTCATGGATCTGCACTGGGAAGGCCCAAAGGTCGGTGATGGAATCTAGGAAGTCTGCGCCAGCGGGATGAAGGATCTGTGCCAGCGGGCTGAGGGATCTGCACTGGAGCCAGGAAGCGATGCTCAAAGTAAGAAGCAGAGCTCCCCCAAAAGGTACCACAGCCATCCTCAGCAACAGTGAGGTCCCGAGCTTCTCTGATGATGAGAACAGCCGAGTCCCCATCAGGAAAGCCAATGCAACAAGCTTCTCCAGGAGACTGAGCAGTGCCCCACCTTCCCCTCTGGAGCCAGAAAGCGATGCTCCAAGTGAGGACCAGAGCTCCCCCAAAGTGAACCGAAGCCATTCTCAGCAACAACGAGGTTCCGAGCTCCTTCGACGTGGATAACAGCCGAGTTCATCAGGAAAGCCAGCACGACGAGCTCCTCCAGCAGAATAGCCCAAGAGAACTGGCAGCTCTCTCACAGCTCCCCAACAGCTTCTAC